CCACCATGTTTCACGGTGGGGATGGTGTGTTCAGGGTGATGTGCCAGTGTTAGTTTTCTGCAACATATGGCGTTTTGTTTTTAGGCCAAAAAGCAAAATTTTGGTCTCATCTGACCAGAACACCTTCTTCCACATGTGTTTGCTGTGTCCCCACAAGGCTTCTCGCAAACTGCAAGCGGGACTTCTTATGGCTTTCTTTCAACAATGGCTTTCTTCTTGCCACTCTTCCGTAAAGGCCAGATGGAGTGCACGACTAATAGTTTTCCTGTGAACAGATTCTCCCACCTGAGATGTGGATCTCTGCAGCTCCTCCAGAGTTACAATGGCTACTTCTCTGATTAATGCTCTCCTTGCCCGGCCTGTCAGTTTAGGTGGACGGCCATGTCTTGGTAGGTTTGTAGTTGTAAAATATTAGAAATATCTTGCGAGCCAGAAAATGAGCAAAAACTCCTTATTAATACACTCTAATGCTGGATCGCAAACCTCTAGCACATAACTACCAATGTGATAAACCGCAAAAAATAAATCTATAGTGTTGCGCTCCCAATCCTTAAATCAATATTTTGTTATTTGAATATGATCTCTATAATAAAGATCACAATAATTAAGAATGATGTGTGTAAATAAACATAAATACTAATATTCTTAAACTTTGAATTGATACAAAAAAATAATGTGCATGAAAAATGAACAATGACAATAAATCACTAAAAAATATTTAAATAAATATAAAAAATAAAAAAATAATGAAATATAAAGATAAAAATAAAGATAATGTCCCAAAAAGTGACTTTGTGCTGGAAAATCTTCAATCTAAAATAATTGTAAATCGGTGACTGCTTGTGAATCCTCCCTCCAGTGAAGATGTGCGCTCACCTCATGAGAAGCCTGCAATTAGGCTATAAAAGCTTGCGGTTCACCTCCTTTGGAACCTACTAGTTTAGAAACTCCTGCTTGAAGATAGGATGAATCTCCTCTCCAGAGGGTGCAACTCCTCTATACTTTCATCTCCATGCGATTCTCCACATATAAAAAAGATCTCGACATGGTGCTTTATCTTTTATATAAGTATGCCTTTTATTTGCTTATGATATGGCACTCACATATAAAGTGTGCGGATAGTGGTAGCACAAATGCAATCCCAAACCGCCGCTGATTGTCGGAGCTGTGTACTCGTGGTCCGGCAAACAAACTGACTCCCTCCGAGTGACGTTGCAGTCCACCCCTACGCGTTACGCCACTGGTCACGTGGCTTCATCAGGGGGATTTGATTGGTGATCAACCAAGTCAGTTTGTTTGCCGGGTTGTTTGCCAAGTCAGTTTGTTTGACTCAAGGGAGTCAGTTTGTTTGCCGGACCACGAGTACACAGCTCCGACAATCAGCGGCGGTTTGGGATTGCATTTGTGCTACCACTATCCGCACACTTTATATGTGAGTGCCATATCATAAGCAAATAAAAGGCATACTTATATAAAAGATAAAGCACCATGTCGAGATCTTTTTTATATGTGGAGAATCGCATGGAGATGAAAGTATAGAGGAGTTGCACCCTCTGGAGAGGAGATTCATCCTATCTTCAAGCAGGAGTTTCTAAACTAGTAGGTTCCAAAGGAGGTGAACCGCAAGCTTTTATAGCCTAATTGCAGGCTTCTCATTGAGGTGAGCGCACATCTTCACTGGAGGGAGGATTCACAAGCAGTCACCGATTTACAATTATTTTAGATTGAAGATTTTCCAGCACAAAGTCACTTTTTGGGACATTATCTTTATTTTTATCTTTATATTTCATTATTTTTTATTTTTTATATTTATTTAAATATTTTTTAGTGATTTATTGTCATTGTTCATTTTTCATGCACATTATTTTTTTGTATCAATTCAAAGTTTAAGAATATTAGTATTTAGGTTTGTAGTTGTGCCATACTCTTTCCATTTTCAGATGATGGATTGAACAGTACTCCATAAGATGTTCAAAGCTTGGGATATTTTTTTATACCCCAACCCTGCTTTAAACTTCTTCACAACTTTATCTCTGACCCGTAGGGTGTGTTCGTTGGCCTTCATGATGCTGTTTGTTCACCAATGTTCTCTAACAAACCTCTGAGGGCTTCACAGAACAGCTGTATTTATACTGAGATTAAATTACACATAGGTGGACTCTATTTACTAATTAGGTGACTTCTGAAGGCAATTGGTTTCACTAGATTTTAGTTAGCAGCATCAGAGTAAAGGAGACTGAATACAAATGCACGCCACACTTTTCAGATATTTTGAAAAAATTTTGAAAACCAGTTATCGTTTTCCTTCCACTTTGTGTTGGTCTATCACATAAAATCCCAATAAAATAAATTTGCGTTTTGGTTGTTGCTACATGCCAAAAATGTGAGGCACTGTGTGTGTGTGTGTATGTATATATATATATATATATATATATACAGTCATGGCCGAAATTGTTGGCACCCTTGATATTTTTCCTGAAAATCAAGTATTTCACACAAAAAAAGGTATTGCATTAACACATGTTTTGCTATACACATGTTTATTCCCTTTGTATGTATTGGAACAAATATAAAACAGAGGCAGAAAAGCAAATATGACATAATGTCACACAAAACCCCAAAAAATGGGCTGGACAAAAGTATTGGCACCCTTAACTTAATATTTGGTTGCACACCCTTTGAAAACATAACTGAAATCAGTCGCTTCCTATAACCATCAATAAGCTTCTGACACCTCTCACCCGGAATTTTGGACCACTCTTCCTTTGCAAACAGCTCCAGGTCTCTCTTATTGGAAGGACACCTTTTCCCAACAGCAATTTTAAGATCTCTCCACAGGTGTTCAATGGGATTTAGATCTGGGCTCATTGCTGGCCACTTCAGAACTCTCCAGCGCTTCTTTGCCATCCATTTCTGAGTGCTTTTTGACGTATGTTTGGGGTCATTGTCCTGCTGGGAAGACCCAGGATCTTGGACGCAAACCCAGCTTTCTGACACTGGGGCCCTACAGTGCGACCCAAAATCCTTTGGTAATCCTCAGATTTCATGATGCCTTGCACACAGTCAAGGCACCCAGTGCCAGAGGCAGCAAAACAACCCAAAACATCATTGAACCTCACCATATTTTACCGTAGGTACTGTGTTTTGTTCTTTGTAGGCCTCATTCCGTTTTCGGTAAACAGTAGAATGATGTGCTTTACCGAAAAGCTCTATTCTTGGTCTCATCTGTCCACAAGACGTTTTCCCAGAAGGCTTTTGGCTTACTCAAGTACATTTTGGCAAACTGTAGTCTTGCTTTTTTATGTCTCTGTGTCAGCAGTGGGGTCCTCCTGGGTCTCCTGCCATAGCGTTTCATTTCATTTAAATGTCGACGGATAGTTCGCGCTGACACTGATGCTCCCTGAGCCTGCAGGACAGCTTGAATGTCTTTGGAACATGTTTGGGGCTGCTTATCCACCATCCGGACTATTCTGCGTTGCAATCTTTCATCAATTTTCCTCATCCGTCCACGACCAGGGAGATTAGCTACAGTGCCATGGGTTGCAAACTTCTTGATAATGTTGCGCACTGTGGACAAAGGCAAATCTAGTTCTCTGGAGATGGACTTGTAACCTTGAGATTGTTGATATTTTGCCACAATTTTGGTTCTCAGGTCCTCAGACAGTCTCGTCTCCTCTTTCTGTTGTCCATGCTTAGTGTGGCACAGACAGACACACAATGCAAAGGTTAAGTGAACGTCTCTCCTTTTTATCTGCTTTCAGGTGTGATTTCTATATTGCCCACACCTGTTACTTGCCCCAGGTGAGTTTACAGGAGCATCACATGCTTGTAACATTCTTATTTATCCGCAGTTGTTGAAAGGGTGCCAATACTTTTGTCCACCCATTTTTGGAGGTTTGTGTGACATTATGTCGAATTTGCTTTCTTTCCTCCTTTTTTTGTTTTTGTCCCAATACACACAAAGGGAATAAACATGTGTATAGCAAAACATGTGTTAATGCAATACGTTTCGTGAGAAATACATGATTTCCTGGAGAAATATCAAGGGTGCCAACAATTTCGGCCATGACTGTATATATATATATATACACCACACACACACACACACACACACACACACACACACAGTGGGGCAAAAAAGTATTTAGTCAGCTACCAATTGTACAAGTTCTCCAACTTAAAAGATGAGAGAGGCCTGTAATTGGCATCATAGGTAATGACAATGATGCCGGGAAATGAAGGAGTGGCGTCGTAAGAAGCATATCAAGATCCTGGAGTGGCCTAGCCAGTCTCCAGATCTCAACCCCATAGAAAACCTTTTGAGGGAGTTGAAAGTCCGTGTTGCCCAGTGACAGCCCCAAAACATCACTGCCCTGGAGGAGATCTGCATGGAGGAATGGGCCAACATACCAGCAACAGTGTGTGCCAACCTTGTGAAGACTTACAGGAAACGTTTGACCTCTGTCATTGCCAACAAAGGATATATATCAAAGTATTGAGATGAACTTTTGATATTGACCAAATACTTATTTTCCACCATAATTTGCAAATAAATTCTTTCCAAATCAGCCAATGTGATTGTCTGGATTTTTTTTCTCATTTTGTCTCTCATAGTTGAGGTCTACCTATGATGCCAATTACAGGCCTCTCTCATCTTTTTTAAGTGGGAGAACTTGCACAATTGGTGGCTGACTAAATACTTTTTTGCCCCACTGTGTATATATATATATATATATATATATATATATATATATATATATATATATATATATTATATACATACAGTGGGGATCGAAAGTTTGGGCACCCCAGCTAAAAATGTGTATTAATGTGCATAAAGAAGCCAAGGAAAGATGGAAAAATCTCCAAAGGCATCACATTACAGATTAGACATTCTTATAATATGTCAACAAAAGTTAGATTTTATTTCCATCATTTACACTTTCAAAATAACAGAAAACAAAAAAATGGCGTCTGCAAAAGTTGGGCACCCTGCAGAGTTAATATCTTGTACTGCCCCCTTTGGCAAGTATCACAGCTTGTAAACGCTTTTTGTAGCCAGCCAAGAGTCTTTCAATTCTTGTTTGAGGTATCTTTGCCCATTCTTCCTTACAAAAGTCTTCCAGTTCTTTGAGATATCTGGGCTGTCTGTCACGCACTGCTCTTTTAAGGTCTATCCATAGATTTTCAATTATGTTGAGGTCAGGAGATTGTGAAGGCCATGGCAAAGCCTTCAGTTTATGCCTCTTGATGTAATCCCCCATGGATTTCGAGGTGTGTTTAGGATCATTATCCATTTGTAGAAGCAATCCTCTCTTTAACTTCAGCTTTTTCACAGATGGCATCAAGTTACCATCCAAAATTTGCTGAAATTTTATTGAATCCATTTTTCCTTCTACTCATGAGATGTTCCCTGTGCCACTGGCTGCAACACAACCCCAAAGCATGATTGATCCAACCCATGCTTAACAGTTGGACAGAGGTTCTTTTCATTAAATTCTGTGCCCCTTCTTCTCCAAACGTACCTTTGCTCATTCTGGCCAAAAGTTCAATTTTAACCTCATCGGTCCACAGAACTTGTTTCCAAAATGCATCAGGCTTGTCTATATGTTCATTTGCAAAGTTCAAACGATGATTTTTGTGGTGAGGACGTAGAAGAGGTTTTCTTCTGATGACTCTTCCATGAAGACTATATTTGTACAAGTATCTCTTTATAGTGGAATAGTGTACACAACTCCAGTGTCTGAAAGATCTTTCTGGAGGGATCGTGCAGTCAAACGTGGGTTTTGAATTGTTTTTATCACAATCCTGCGAGCTGTTCTGTCTGATATTTTTCTTGGTCTTCCAGATCTTGCTTTAACTACCACTGTTCCTGATGACTGCCATTTTTTTAATTACATTCCGAACAGAGGATATTGACATCTGAAAAGCCTTCCCTCCAGCTTTGCTATCTTCTTATAGCCTTCTCCAGCTTTGTGAGCGTCAACTATTTTCAGTTTCAGTTTTCTAGACAACTGCTCAGAAGAACCCATGGTGCTGATTGTTGGGGCAAGGTCAGATGAGTCTGGACATTTAAAACCTTTGAGAATGACATCACCTGGTCTTCCCAGACGATGATTGAGAACAATCCATGACATTGGCAGGTCTCAGCTTGGCAAAGGGGGCAGTGCATGCTATAAATTCTGCAGGGTGCCCAAACTTTTGCAGACGCCATTTTTTGTTTTCTGTTATTTTGAAAGTGTAAATGATGGAAATAAAATCTAACTTTTGTTCACATATTATAAGAATGTCTAATCTGTAATTTGATTCCTTTTGGAGATTTTTCCATCTTTCCTTGGCTTCTCTATGCACATTAATACAAATTTTTAGCTGGGGTGCCCAAACTTTCGATCCCCACTGTACATATACACAATGGGGCAAAAAACATATGTATATACACAGTGTGTATATACACATATGTATATACACAGTGTGTATATACACATATGTATATACACAGTGTGTATATACATATGTATATGTATATACACACTGTGTATATACATATACATACACACACACACAGGTGTACCTTGGTAAATGCAGTTTCCCATAGGAATGCATTGAAAACCAATTAGTCCGTTCTGGAGGTCAGAAAAAAGTTTTAAAAAATGTCGCTGTCACTATAGGTCAGTGTCGGTTTTTAAATGTAATTACCGGCTTTTTTTTTTTCACTATAGCTCAGAGAATCAGCTGTCACATTCCCCCCCAGCTAAAAGAAAGAACGTTTCCTTTTAGTTTATTTCCCTGAGTTAAAAGAAACAATGTTTCCTTCTAGTTTGTTTCTCGAGATAAAAAAAAAACCTTTAGCTCTGAGGAAAGTGACAGCTATTTCTGTGAGCTATAGTGAAGAAAAAAAAAAAAAAGCCGGTAATTGCATTTAAAAATCGGCACCGACATATACTTCGTATTGCGAAAAAAAGATCATAAAAAATTTGTAAACCGAGGCATTATTTTCAATGGATTTTAATTCGAAAACCAAAAATTACGTTAACCGAGGCATTCGTAAACCAAGGTACGCCTGTATATATATATATATATATATATATATATATATATATATATTACACACATACATACACACACACACATATATATATACACACCATAGTTTATAGATGCTATAACTTTTTTACAAACCAAATAAACACTTCTTGGGATTTCTTTTTTTTTTAACCAAAAGACATCTAGCAGAATACATTTTGACCTCTATTTATGAAGAAATTTGATTTTCTGATTTCTTTTTTTTTTTTATTGGATATGTTTTATAACAGAAAGTAGAAAATATTTGGTCTTTTAATAAATGTTTGGTCTTTTTTATTTTATAAATTAAAAAATAAAAAACCCAGTGCTGATCAAATACCACCAAAAGAAAGCTCTATTTGTTTGAAAAAAATAATAATTTCATTTGCGTACAGTGTTGCATAACCAAGCAATTGCCAGTTATATAATGCAGTGCTGAATAGCAAAAAAATGGTCTGCTAATGAAGGAGGTAAAACGCTCAAGTGGTTAAATCTCTTTACATACCTTCCATCCAAGAAATTCAGCTAAGGCTAGACAACCATCATCACAGTTTCCAAGCCAGGCTACATCCCTAAATACAAAATATTGAAACATTTTATTCACAAAATTCTTATGGTCAGCTTTTCAGCAGTTAGAAAAGTAATTTGATTATGATCACATAAAGTCAGGGTTACCTGAAATATCTAAACCACGGGTGTCTAACCCGCAGTCCAATGTGGGCCGCATTCATAGCTAAAAAAATTGTAAACCTACTTAAAAATTTGGATTTTTGGGGGATTGTTTTGTAAAAATGTGTTTACACTTAGTGAACACATGCAGCCGAAGAAAAATTTGACAGTGTCTCTTTAATGGACTTATAAGTTTTATCTCCCCAAACTAAAATATCCCACTCTTCACAATCACACCCTATTCAGGTCATGAGTTTTCGGCAGCACCTATATTTGTGAGCAACTATTTTCAAGGATGAAGCACATGAAGTGCAAAATTAGAACCAAAATACTTGATGAGCACCTTGAGAATTCATTGATAATTGCTACTACATCCATCAAACCAGATATTTAAGCGTTATTTTATCAAAAACAGTGTCAAATATCGCACTAGTTTTATGTTGCCCTCTTTTACTTTTAGATTTAAAAATATTACAAAAAAGTTTAGTTTACTCAGATAGGAACTTTATCTATATCAGTAATCGTAACTTGTGATCTGCCAGACTTTTTCTGCTCATCAGTTATCCTTATTGTTAGTGTATTTTATGTGTGGCCCAAGACAATTCCCCATCTTCCTATGTGGCCCAGGAAAGTCAAAAGATTGGACACCCCTGGTCTAAACTCAAGCATAAAAATGTAATATATTGCAGTTATTTCTTTGCACTTATCAAACAGATATAACAAAACACATTCAGCAGTATATTTAGCAGACCAAAAGAGAGCAAATAAGAGAAGTACATTACCTGTAAGCTTTTTCTGAATCAAAGTCCATTCCACCTCCTAAACCAAGCAGTCCAAAAAATGAGTCTCCCTGTACAGTTACAAAACAGATTCAGTAAGGCAGTAATGACAAGTAAACCTACATTATTTCAAAACATTGATTTATTTTATTGTGACAGCACCTGGCCAGTCTTTTCTTTGTTGATTAAAAGACGTGGTGTCTTACTAGGCACCCTGGAGAAGGAGAACATAGAATACAATTACTTGTTATGACATGCATCCAGTGACCAGAAAAAAAGAACCCAGTCAGGCCTAGTCAATTGTTATATGTGCAATTGTATAAACAAAAAATACCAGAAACCTGATTTCTATGCTTATATATACAAAATAATTAAATTTACTATGAAGGACCTAATAAGTAGAAAGACCATAGTATGCCCTCAAAACAGCTTCAGTCCTTCTTGGACTTGTTGTCATACAATACCTGAACTGCGTGTTGTAGGTTTTCAAACCATCCTTTAAGCAGAAACATCTCCAGTTATTTGAGGAATGATGGAGGTGAAAATCTCCTTCACACCCTGCTCTCTAGAAGTCCCCACAAAAATGTAGCCATGTTTACATCTAATGTTTGAGAGGTGACCTTTTATTCTCTAGATCCAGTGATGGACTTATTCTTTGTGTTCATTAAACAACTTTTGATTCGGTGTTTGATAAGTATCCTTTCGTATGGATAAATGCATACCATAAAAGAACTGTGTTATTATCATCAGGTCTATCTGGTCGTGTAAATGGTCTCAAACTATGCTTATAGCTAGGAACAAGCATTGTGAGATATAGTGGTTGTAAACCTCAGACATGAAATATGAACAAAGCATATCCCCTTAGAGTGTATACTTGTCTCAATTAATGGTACTACGTATCATTTTTGTCTGCTGCTTCATTTCTCTACTATCCGTATGAATCACTTCTGACAAGTTTTCCTGACACCAACAGAAAAAAAGTGACGAGGAGGGACCTCCAGCAGAATGACAGTCTTGGCTCTGTTCCTGTGAGCTGCGTGGAGGGAGGTGTGTCTATTTCCTCTAATCAGCTCTCAGAGTTCTCCTCACTGAGCTCTACAGTATGTAATTACAGCTCTCTGCCCCCTTTTTCTGAACTCTCAGACAAGCGTTATACATTCTGGACATTGAACAGATACAACTTATGTAGGTGTATTTGTTTTTCATCTGTGTATCGCCTGAGGCCAGTCACTTGACTGGGTATATGTAAGGGTTTACAACCTCTTTAAAGCCATATTTTAGTTTTCTCCAAGCAGTAACTCATCCAGATGTTAGAAAAAGGATGAAAGATAACTCGTTAGAACATACAGGAAGGGAAAGGAAAATAGAGACAAACAGAAAAATTCTGCTATAATAAAACTCCCTCTAAACTTAAGATGGCCACTAAACCTGATACAAATTGATTTGCCTCAAAAGCATACATAGGGTTACATACGCATTCGTTAAAAAAAGTGAGAGTTTTCTAAAATCTAAATTATTTGAAAGTTGGCCTAATGTTTTTAATTCAGTTGCCTGCAACCTATCTTCTAATATGATACATTTAGGTTGGGGAAAAGTATTTCAAGATTCTAGTGCACCCTCATTCTGTGCAATTACTGGAGTCAGACACAAAACATACTTGATGTTGTGTAGTCTAAATGTTTACATTAACCTACAAAGCATACATAAATAGCTCTAAATTTCAGGACATGTTTTGCTATAGTGGTTCTGTCTCATATAGGACAGGCTCTGTACTACTCCCAAAGTCCTGATTCTTGTGGGACTTAAAGGACATTAGGACAACAGGAAATTACATAAACATTCTTTTTCTCAAATCTACACGTATGTTATATATCCCATGTAAAACAATGGTTGTATTACTTTGCATTTTTCAAAGTTTAATATTTTTGTTCAATCACCTTCGACCTTCAGAAGAATATACCAACTATATTATATGCGTTTATACCCTCTAGACTGGATTACTGTAATAAATTGTATGCAGAGGTGCCAGAGAAGAACTACATATAGCAGCTAAGCAGCCTGTGTGATGGGCATAATACACCATAATGCCCCCTATACTCCAGAATCTCCTAATAAAATGAAGAGCCCACATAGAGAGTCTCTTTAGGGTGTATGAGGCCATATTTTGGTTTACTAATGGATGTGGCAATAGGGAGCACCTGATAAGATACTGTACCAATTAATTTACTTAAGGTTATAAATAGACAACATGCAAGTCAGTTTGCCAGCAACTAACTAGATATGATCTTTCAAAAAATACACATGCACAGACAAAATAAAAAAAACACATAACTAATATGCAGAACCAGGGAGCAAGAACATAGCTATACTTACTTGCCAACAAGAGAAGCAAATGGCTGAACTTGAAGAGATGTTCCCATTACAATAAGCAGATCAACCTTGGGGAAATCCTACGGACACAGGAAAACCATGCATTAAAATAGTCTAATACAGAAGGATAGAAAGGAAAGTACAAAAACAGTCATTTAAAATCCATGTCACTTGTAAATTTATGTGAAATGACTGAATTTATTTGACAAGTGTACGAATGCAAATACTCACAACATAAACACCTGAAATTTTGGTCATGAATACTGATCTTCAAACATCAGTACTGTGTGCAAAAACTTAGTGATTAATAATTTGCATTAGAGTTAGCCATAAAAGGTAGACCCAATGGAATATTAAAAAACAACTCTAAGTACAAAAAAAAACTTTTTATGTTCTAAAGAAAGTGTTGGGTTCCGTTTCTCTAACAGGCAAAGGAAGAAAATAAAAAAAAACAGAACTTGTTTGTGATCAGTTCTTTTTCTCCATATCCTAGGTAGGCATGTCTGAACTCCTTACTCGAACAACAAATTAGGAGCTTTCCCTATACTGCTCTCTGTTAGTTGTGCCGTCATTCAACATGATGCAGTAGAGCACATGGCCATAAACACAAGGCCTGAGACAATGTCAAAGTTCTGCATTACTTTTCCTTTATTGCAAGTAAGTACATTTTTTATCTTGGTTACATTTATTGAATTCAGAAGATTCTCATTTTAAAATCTAACCCTAATTAATTTAGAAAAGAGTGATATGTAAGATACATAAAAAGAAACGGTTTAGCAACTTGTGATAAATATCTTTGTTATTACAATACAGGTTGGATTTTTGCATATTGCAGCATTTGTAACAAGCATTATCTACTTACCGATTTTAAAGCCGAAAAGAAGTGGGATGGGAGGCTTTCCCCAAAAAACACAATATCTGAAACATAAAATTTCCCATTAAGCAGTGAAGTTATCCCAATGATTTAAAGTGAAAAGAAACGGCTTTAAAGTACAGTATTTGTGAATTCAACACCAATAAAGCTAATACTAATTTAGCAGACAGTAATCAATTAAAACTGCACTGATTTTGGATCTCCTTTTTTTTGTGGTCATGTGATTGCACAGTCCACCCCCCCCTCTGTTTATTTCTGCAAAGTGATGGGGAAGAGAGGTGTCTCTGTTAAAGGGTGGGCAGAGAGGCAGACAGAGTGACGTTACACAGCCAAAGAATATGTTCCATACCTGCTTGAGCTTTCAGCTTTGACAGCGAGGCGCCTGCTGGAAGCTGCTGTCAATCAATTCAGCACAGCAGACAAATTAACTAAATTTTTGGATTCAATTTGATCTTAATTGTGAGATCTCTGCAACTGACTTTTTGTGTCTAGTACACTGCTGTGGTATAAGAAGCCAGGATTGAACCCAGCCCACCATACTCCAACTATAACTAAAATATCAACTTTTGGGTAGACTGTCGCTATCAGATTAAACACTTGGTAGAAATATTTTAGCATGCCGGATAATAACAGATCCATACTATGAAATTGTATATATGTAATCCAGCATTTCCAGATGCACCATTGGCCACAGGAGTAATTAACAAAATTACGCGTGGTTAAAAAAAAAAGATACTCATGACTAAATAATTTTATAATTATATTACAGATATGATTAAGACTAGCCATAAACTGTAAAGTATTTTTTTGTTTGGTCAGTGGGCAGAATGAAAAAGAAACTAACAAATTCCTCCATCCATACAAGTGCGGTGGATGATGGAATCCTCCCCTTCCTTCCACGTCTGGAATATTGTGTTCTGATAACAGTACTCTTTGATACACTGATCGATGGCTGCTGTTGCTTATATTCAAAACATTTTTCAACATGTCCCTTGAGCAAAAGTTGATCAAACAATCGACTTCTGTCAAGAGTGGATGATCATACACTGAATGAGATTTGGGGGGGGTCCTCGCTGGACTTTTATAACCATTTACGACTCACCTGGTTTGACCAAATTGTTACACTTTTCACACTTAGGGATCAGATCAGAGAAAATCTTTTCTGAAATGATAAAAGGAATACATCATGAAAAAAAAAAAATATCTGCTGAAATAAAAATGAAGTTTTTAGCTTTGTACATCTATATGATTCAGTTACTTTGATACTAACAAAGATAAAAACAAACATTCTAATCTTATGAACAGACCTGTAAATGTTCTCAGCTATACAGCCTGAAAAATTAAAGTAGATTATGCATTAACCACTTCCACTGGCCACTCACATAAATAAACACAGAGAGCAGCAGCATATATGTAAATAATGTACTGTGCTGAGACCGTGCTCCCAGCACAGCAACTAAACTGTCACGGAAAGCTCACGATGCATTCTTGCGATCGAGAGCTTTCGCGGTCACATGACAGGAATGCACAGCTTCATCTCCTGGCATTTTGAACCACTTAAAGGGCTGGGAATGGGTTAAAAAGGAAATATGCACACTCTGCTAGCCCAACACCCCCAATTCAAAATCCCTCGGTGTTTAAAAAAAAAAACTTTAGCAAAAAAACTTAAAAGATAGGCTCAACTACACAATGGCACTAGCAGTCTGCCTGTTTTTAACATAATAAAGTAGTTTGAAATCCTAACTTGATGACATTTATTGCTAAAGCACTGGGGGGTTGATTTACTAAAGTCAAATAGGCTGTTTCTCAGTGCAAGGGCAGTTGCACTTTGCAAGGGACTTCACCTCAAAGCTTGGTGAATGTGGTGGAGTTTTACTTTGCAAAGAATCAAAGAATACACAATTACATGAAAGGAAAATAAAGAGAAAAACAGCATTTTTGCTTGCACATGATTCACGTCATTCACTAAGCTCTGAGGCAAATTCCCTTGTAAAGTGAACAGCCTGTGTGTCAGAAACAACTGTCATGCCTGTTTTTCTTAAAATACTGTTTTCACCTTACTTTCAATCACTGTTGCATCTCAGTGCTGCTGATCTTCACTAGCCTCTCTCAGCTACTTCCTGCCTAAATGGACTCGCTCCAACATTGGCTATACATCATTGTTCTGGTCCAGCTTCTTCATGGTGACAGCAGTGTACCATGCCTGTACAATGTGCATGGAAACAGCTGCTTGTAGTCTTTATTTGTGCGTGTGTGACAACACAAGAGTACAGGTAGGATACAGTTGTCACCCAATAACAGAAAGTGTCTGAACAAGACAGAAGCAATGAGTATTATTCCAATGAAAGCTGAAGTTTTATAAAGATTCTAAACAACACTTGACATTACACTAACATGATAAAGCTTATACAAGATTTTAGAGATTGGGTCTGCACATACTTTAAAATCAATATGGAGCAAATCTGTTGAAGGGGTTAAATTATTCAGGATCACTAAGTTACAGATGCAGTTTAGTTTTTAATCTCCCAAGAGCTGCAGAGAGTGGATTAGTTTCTAATGGGACAGGCAAAACAGACAACACAACTGCAGGATGACTTTATCTATAGATAAGGGGGTTCATCATACAGCCAATTCTGTTGTGTTTGTACGGTCTGGGAGGTCCGATTAAAACAAAGCAGTCAAGTGCTCAGATTCTGGTGCACTTGCAACTTAATTTAAAGCAGAACTACACTGCATCTCAGCAGCACAAACCAAAAACACTAATTAATATTCAAAGCAAACTCATCTATTCATGTCTCCATGCTTTATTTTGCTGAAAAATCACTTTGGAAAAACCCCCCTTTAGCATTTCTGGCAACGGGCATCTTAAGTAAGCGCCGACAAATTTACATCCAAAATCTGCAAACCATCTTCCCTTAACTCAGGCATGCAGACATGAGGGAGTGCTTAGATGAGAAAACTGCTCCTGAAGACTCCTGGGATGTATCACATAATTTGCCTAGGCATGGAAACTAGGAAGTAACTGAAGAAATGTAAAAAAAAAAAGTTTAAAGCAAGTAAATATAATCTACAAATATTAGCAGCATAAGGATACAAATAGTCAATGTTAATTGAGCCCCGCTTCAAGTGTGCTTAAGAAACAGTGAGTATATTTTAAGGAATCCCGTTAATGCTGACAATATGATCAGTTTGCTGTTGGCCCATTCAAACAAATGAAAATTGTCAGATACTAATTTTATTATAAGGAAATAAAGAATATCTGGATGATGAGATGCATGATACCTTTCATCCAAGAAAGAGAATATTCCTCTCTACAGAATGTTCCAACACAGTGAGAGGTGTGGAAAGTTCCATGTGCCTCTACCAAGTCATCAGATGAGAGACCGGCTACCCGCTCGAGTGTATCTATGTTCTAAGAAGCAAACAGGATATGGAAAATGTTCCAAAATAGTAAGATTACAAAAACAATACTGAATAGTGTGATTTTATGTTATATTAACATTATAATTTATATTGTTCATGCAATACCTTTATGTATGTAATTATAGTACGCTATGCACTTCATTCCCTACTATGTCAATCAAAGGGGCACAAGCAGTAGTACCTGAGTATAGCACCGAAGTAACATTCCCTTTTCTTTCATTAGACGCATAAAATAATGACAAATAGTTGGCTGCAAAAAGAGAAATAAATAGCAACATTATTTTCTGGTAAAATAAAAATGCAATGAAATCAAGAAAGAATAATTAGGCATTGTAAAATCTTTGGGCAGTTCAATTAAACATTTGCATTGTTGGATGAGGAAGTCTCCAAATGATGTAACACTTGCAATACTTTTGGAGATTGGTCCAACACGTGTGTCAACTTTAATTAGGCTTTTTTGCGATCATTTTCTAATATGTCACTATGGTTCCAACAAATTCATTAAGAAACACCAACATTTTGTATATAAGAAAACTGTCAGTAAATAAGACCATCATTATGTTGCGTAATTTCTCTGGATTCTAGTGCATGTAAACAATGTATCAGTTGGCGCTTGCTGGGGGCCTTAGTCACCCTAAATTAAAACCACCTTTTAGTGCAAAGTCAATGGGTGGCTGCGACTGCACAGGGATGAACACTGTACCAAGTGGTACATGTGTTAAGGGCCTTGTGTGTTCAGGGATGAAAGCCTGAAATGAGAAAGACTTTGACAAGCTGCAGGCAGAACAGCTGAACGCTGTACCTGTGCCGCTCAGGTATGCTAAAATGCCAGGAAGGACGCACAGCATCTAGATGCCCCCATGTGCAAGGAGTTTTAAATGTTCACAAGATAACAATTATGAAAGCCCATCTATCAAGCTCATCCTAAGTTGCTATTCAGTAAAAATAGGTGGATCCACATATGTGAAGAGAACACTCCGACTACGGGAGAACACTCCCAACTACAGATGCAGTCTATGCATGTAAGTGTAATGCACATCAGTACTAGTATTGAAATGCAGGATAGTGGCCAATGAGTAGAAGCATAGGTATTAGCTGTCTATGCTCCAGATGGTGACATGACTCACAACTGCGGTACTGCTGCTCAGCCAACTGGTAATTGCTTGAGCAGCTCCACTTGTGAAGTCACCACAGTAAACACCTCTACACACTGAACTTCAGGATCTGATTCTAAGCTATTCTGAGCCCAATTCACACTTAGATATGGGGCTGTTTGCAATTACCCATGGGAGACTCAGTGGGGTTACCTGTGAAAGCAAAATGATCCTGACAGTGCCGGTAATCGCTTGTAATTGTTCATGCAACAATTACCTGTGAATGATTGGCCCTGGACAGACTGTTTGCATCCAGGATGAATCATCCACAGGTAATCGCTGCATGAGCAATTACATGCAAACAGCTGCAAATAGCTATGGGTGCTGTCAGGTTCCAAGTGCTTTTACTGGGGCTTCCTGCCCGCAGCTATTCACAGGGAGCCGCTGATTCTCCCATGGATAATCGCAAATGGCCCCATTCACAAGTGTGAATGGGGCCTTACTACAAGTTTACCTGATTAGTCAGAGGATTTCAGTGAGAGGGACTGAGGCTCCCAGCAAGCACCCACTGATACAATGCTACAAATTTATATACATCTTTCCAACAGGTACATGAATCTGTTGCAAGCAACAAAATTTGCTGTAGAAGAGCTCTCGCACCCAGCTGCTCTTCTTGCAGAAATGAGGAGCCACAGCTGCAGTATAATTTAGTCCATTGACATGTATTGCAGAATACGCAGCATGTCGCTATATGCACATAACCAACGGCACTTGCGTATTCACACGCACGCATATGGGAGTATATTTACAAATGTTAAATTTTACATTTTGAAAATAGCACTATTGGTAAATAGTTGGCAATTTCTGATGTTGATGTGGTGGTGTGGTGTTTTTATTTTAACTTACAGGTAAAATTATAATAATGCTCACCTGTAGGTTAAATGAATATCTACATTCACTGTTAAGAAGATATTCCAGGGAGCAGCAGCCGGTGACATCACCAGCACATGCACTCTGAAGGAACGGCATTCCCATGGCATTCTATCAGAGCTCTGTGCCGCGGTCATTATCATAGCTCGGCCATTCAAGCGGCTGCAGCCCATGAACCCAGAAGGAAGTCTGGGTGAAAATGGAAGCCTCTGCAGCTGTGACAGTGCTCTGCTGGAGGGCTTCATTTCAAGGTAAGTCTTTCATAATGTGCTAGTATGCAATGCATACTAGAATACTATTCCTTTACCTTGCAGGGTTTTTTTTTATCCTTTACTACAGCTTTAAGGATCATTAGCAGCTTCTATGTTTCTCCTAAGAAAGGTTTTCTTTAAAGGTTAGGTTTCTCTGTCATAAAATCAGCATTTAAGTTTTTTAATGTCATATATTATAACATTTTTGTGCTTACCTTGAACTGACCAGGATACAGTTCTCGAGCCAGCGCAAAAAATGGTTCTGGATTTTGCTATAAAAATAAACATTGCTTAATTATTATACTGTTTTACTTTTTTATTCACCCACTGTTGTACATTGTATATTTGTGAGTCTGTATGTGTTCTCTGCTTCACTGGGCTGTACAATTCCTTAAAGCATAACTAAAAGCAAAAAAATGTTTTTTAGGTTTGGATAGAGTTGAGAGAGATTAGAATGCTTGTCAGTTTTTATTGCTGTCTATGCCCCTGTTAAGATGATTCACCCTATTTGTCCCGTTTATCGTTATCATTGAAAGTGAAAGTAAAAGAAAACCCCAAATTTTGGGTTGTCCCCAGAAAGGTAATAAAAGGTGAAATCTTTTAATGGGACACAGATGACAAGAAAAAAAAATCTGTCAAAAAAAAGTTTTGCTTAATAGTTGTGCTTTAAAGTGACACTAAATGATATTCTTTTTCTCCAAAAATAATCCATACACATCCACACTTAATTGCCCAGTAAGCACTTTTTCATTACATTTTTTTTAATGTGTTTTTCTGCCTTGTATCATCCTCCGTGAGCTCCCAAACCTTTCTATTTCCTTCTCATTTCCACTTGTTAGGAACGAGCAGTGCACATTGATTACTGCTCTAAGCACACTACAAAGCCAATAGCCTAATTTCTCTAGTCCATCTTGGCAGCGAGCAAGAGAGGGTGACTACATTCCAACACACAGCAGAAAAAAAGTCACTTTAAAGCCCCTTTTTAGTATGTGCACTTTAAGTCTATTTTACTTTTCATCCCTTCTGTGTCCTTGCAATGTAATCACAGTGCTTGCTGTACTAAGAAGCATTGCATATGGTGACAAGGTGGGGAGCAGACTCAAGGACACACAAATGCATAGTCTGGTTTTTGGTCACTGCAGTTCAGCTCACAGCCAACAGGAGTACGCAAAAGTTGAACTCCTTAAAGTGCCTGCTGTGTTTTTAACATGAACAATGGCTGCACAGGGAAGTCTCCCACGTTACAGTGCCTGTGTTTCCGCTATAAGCGGCAGCTACACACGGAAGTGCCAATACTGACAGCGCCCCAAAGTGTCTAATGCATTTCAAAGCATGTGCTGCTGTGTACCTAAACCCCTCTCCCTGCATTTTTCTAAAACAGTTACTGTATTTCTAGCAAGAATCTGTATCGAATATGTCACTTTTTCTGCAGCTGCGCTGTGTCATCAGAGTATGGTGCTCTGGCTTCAGGCGCTGTTTACAGTACAGCTGCTTAAAAAAAGTAACAATTTCTCTGCACACTGTCAAACACTTTACTGTGTCAACCAGGATTTCTTTTTAGTAGCTACTAACCACATAGGACAACTAGTTATATCAGCCATATAATGTTTCTTTAAAATCTAACTCTTGTATTGGAGAATGCAAAATTCTAAAACAGAGGCAAAGAAAGACAGTAGGCTTTAGATCCCTGTTGCCGAACAAGCAGCCTGCTATCCCTGTGTGTGGCGCTTTGTCCTAGGCTGGTTCCTCTACTTGTTGGGCACCAGAGGGTAGCACGTTGACAGTGGGGTAAGGGATGCTGAAACATTTTCTGCGATCCAGCACTGAAATAAAAGCTATATTATCAGGCAGAGTAATCTCTGTTTGATAGTTTATGCCATGGCCTCAAACAGAAGAAGCTTACCGCTGTCTATCATTCTTTTTTCTCTTTTTGACTTGATGTGTGATGATGGAGCACCTAACTAATGTACATTTTAAACTGATTAATGAAAAGGAAGCATCAGTGGATTGTCAGCCCATAGCTTTTAAGTGTATTCATTTCTTTTTACAGATCATTAGCAGGGAATAGAATACTGAATATAGCACCTGACCGAGCAGGGTATTTTCCTCTACGAGTCTCTGAGTGTGACCAGAAGAGTGACAATGTACTAACAGGTATTAGTACAGAGGAGTACCTACATCGACCTCTGTTCCCACATTCATATGACTGCAGGTAATTCGCCATCGAGTACTTACCTGAGAACAGGAGCAGTCCTTCTGTCCCATTCTGCTGTCTCTGTCTGGCTGCGGTTTGTTGATGTTAGCAGCCAGAACTTTAACAGCAAGCAGATATTAATCTGGTGAGCAGATATCAATCTGGCCAGTGGTAATCAGCAATAGAAGCAAGCAGGGCACTGAAGCTTCAGTTTCAAGTGGATATAATTTCTTGGAATGGAGGATTGTGGTGGAATCCCTGGAGGCTTTCCGTGGAACCCTAGGGTTCTGTGGAGACGTGGTTGATAAACCCTGGATTAGACCAATGGATTCTTTCATGTGGTTCTGCACATGGAATTTAATTTAAATGCTCAAATTTGCTAAATAAAGTAGCTCAAACAAAGACATCAGAAGTTCAAAGTTTTATTATAAAAGTGCTTACCCTACAATCTGATACCTTTGATCCCGAAAATGAGAAGGGGATTTTAATATTCATACTATCTTATATTTTGTAATTTCTAATATAACTGAGGAATACAGAATTCAGCAAGTCACAAGCAACACTGAGATAGATATAATTACAATGTACATGTGGAGTTACGGCACACGTAACTACTGAGGTCCTTTTTTCTTCCTAAATATAAAATCCAGCATGACCTTACCTTAAAGAATCCAATTTCAAATATGGCTTCAGGATATGGCAAGTTGTACTTCTGAAGATTTGCATACAGTCCACTGCCTGGTGAACGGAAGTCAGGGATTCCTGCGGCTTTAGATCAAGAGACAATCACTGAGGACCTTCGCAACCTATGTATTTTTTTTCAAGGTATATTTTTATCATTTAAAAAAGTACAAGTTACAGACAAATTGAAAGGTGCAGAGAAGGGCAAGAGCATCCTTACCCTCCGCCATTTCACTTACATCACATAATCCACCATATGCAGGGTTTATATACAACATATTTCAAGTCTATTAACAAAACAATCTGGTCACTGAAGTGCTGGTGGATCATACAAAATACAAATAGAGCAATGAAGTACAATTACTTACATGTTGAGATGCCTGCTCCAACCATAAACACCACATTCTTACCTATAATGGAAAAAGAGTGGGTTAAAAGTATATCATTTAAACACATTGTATACCATTCCTACTGAGACTGGAATAAGAAGTATTATTTTAGCTTCAATGAATTAACACAATTGGCTGGTAATCTTAGAAAAACTCTATTCTAAACAGAATGCAAATATACAGAAAATCAGGCAGCAGGAAGGCTTTTTTGTTGTAGAAGAACCTATTAGGCCTCTTCTGCCAAAAAAATGGGTTTTTGTAATGACCGTAAAATCCTTTTTCTTGGAGTCTATTGAAGGACACAGGAGATATTTACAGTGGTTCCAAAGGCTTAAGGTTCTTTTACTTTATTGCATTCTCTGCATCAAGGTAAAAAAAAAAAACCTTCTGCTCACAGGTTCCCCCCAGCCCCCTTTATACTTACCTGAGCCTGATCTTGATCCAGCGCTGTACCCAAGAGCAGCGATTCTCCCCCTTTTTTACAGAAAATAGAGGCAGCAGCTGAAGACATTTGCTCTTGCTGCTGTCAATCAGATCCTGTTATGAGGGGGGCAGGGCTGAGCCACACTCCTTGTGTCAATAGAAGCAGATGGTGAGGCTTGGGATCATGCTTGCACAACTGCCCCCAAGAAGCTTCCTATGGGGGGCACTCGCCAAAGAGTTGGAGCCAAGAGCACTGGTGGGGGATCCCAGAGGAGGATCAGGTCTGCTCTATATAAAACCATTGCACAGAGCAGGTAAGTATGACATGTTTACTTTTTTTTAAAGAAGGTTTACAAACACTTTAACCTTTGGACTACACTACTGCCTACACAAGGATAAGACACTGGCAAATAAAAGTCCTAATACTGGCAGTATAATAATAAACGGGGTGGGACCTGTGTCCCTGAATGGACTCCAAAAAAACATTATTTTACTGTGAGTACAAAAACCCTGTTTTCTTTCTCATCAGGAAGTTTTCTCAACAGGAAGTTTTTCACTTTTGGGATTTCCTAAAGCAGTAGAACTGATGGGGTGAGCAAACAATCACTAACAAGCCCACAAAGATACAGCAGAAATTCTGGGGACTGTGTATAGCTCAAAGAGCCACCTGAAGACCCTTATGGCGAAAAGTTCGCATCAGGTGAGGCAGAAACGTCCACCTTGCAAAAACTTGAGAATGAGCGAACCCAAAAACAGGTGTCATACTTGGAAATCTGGGAAAAAGTTGCATGATGACAAGAAGCGCAAGAATCACTCACAAATCTAGTAGAGTGCTCCTTACGGGGTCCCTCAGGGACAACACAAAGGGAATCTGTCTTCCTGAAAGAAGTTGGACAGAAGGACAGAAGAACAATGTCCTGTTGAGGCAAAAGGTAGAAACTACCTTACGCAAGAATGAAGTACTTGGCCTTACCACCTTGTCCCTATGCAAACCCAGAAAAGGTTCCTTGCAGGGCAAGGCTGCCAGTTCAAACAGTCAGCTTGCAGAAGTTATGTTTACAGTGAACACCACCTTGTAGGTGAAAGTAGAGATAGGAATGTCTGTAATGGGATTGAGAAGGGCAGAGAGGACTAAATTCAGATCCAATGGAGTCACAGGGGAAGAGGACAGGAGGAGCTACATGGAAGATCCCTTGTACAAAGGTCTTAGTTAAAAAAAAGAATTAATGGCTAATTGCCCCTCAAAGTGAACAGAAAGGACTGAATTCTGACCCTTGATAAATGCTGAGAGCTAAACACTGGTCCAGACCCAGCTGCAAAAACAAGTCCCATGGAAAACTCCTGGGTTGAAAGCCCAGAGAAGACTCACACCAATGTCCAAATACATGGAGGGACCTTTGTAAGCCGTGTATTGGGGTGGGCTCCCAAGGATACAGTGAAGTCACGGACGAGGAAAGCAACCCCAACACCAAGCTTTTGCCACAACAGAATTTTTTACTTAGATGTGGCAAATAAACACAACCACAAATGCTGAGAAACATACAATAAAATTTACATACACCCAGCCCAAAGGCTGAGACCCTTGTGCTGCACAGCACGGCGCCTTCTGAAGATGAAGGTAGAAAGTGTAGCAATTTACCTACTGGCGGGCGCAACTAAGCTGCCACACACCTTACCCGTTATTACCCTAAGAGAGCAGGAATCAGTGTATGGGTGTATGGTATGGGCTAGCCTGTGGTGCAGCACAACAGCTTACAATCTTACACAAATCTACAGTATTCCCCCTCCCATAACTGGTCCTGTAGCACGTGCCTGAGTATTCCTTCTGAGCAAAACACCAGTCAGGCTTGAGTTTGTGGGATTTTATCAGCTCTCCAATGTGAAATGTCGCTTAAGTTATGAAGTCTTTCCAATGATCAGCAATAACACTTGTGGCCTGACACAAACAGAGACCCTAACTAACTATAGCCTGGTCTCAGTCTCTAGGCGCCAACACTGAAATGAGGTGCATGCACGATCTTACCAATCCGGATCTGCTTTGTATCTGCTGGTGGACTCTGAACAGAACAAATGTCTCTCCAACAAGCATGCGGTATCGCAGTGTATGTTGCTTTGTTTCCTCTGCTCTCATCAGCATTCCTGGCAGCAATCTTCCTTTCTCTGAACAGGATCAGGGTCTTGGACACCATCAGCTTCACTTAGCTGCACCTCTGGTTACTGAGGATGCTCTGACACCTGGATGCCATCAGATTCTCTGCTCCTCCTGTCTCCTTCATTCACCATTCTCCAAACATGGCTCATCTCTCTCCTCTCTCTCTTCCTGTTCTCTAAACTCTGAGACAAAACCCCACCTCTTCATGAATATAGAAATATCTATGCAGTCTGAGGCGGCTGTGTTACGGAAAACAGTGGCATCTTGTGGCTAAACCGCAGAATGTCAGTCCAGAACATTTAATTTACTCCACACAAACAGTGTTCAAACAATGAGAGCAGTTTCCCCATCTCACACCTTTTCGGAATCCATTACCATAATAGGAATCTCCATGCCAGAAATGTTTCTATTTCTCAGAACTTGTGCTTGAAACAGCCAGGATAGCGAGTTGGTCCTTGGACAGAAAATCCTGATGATCCAGCAGAGCCTGAGCGTCTGCTAGGGGTCTTACCAGGTTGGCATATCACATGCACCTGGGCTAGTCTGGATTTTTTGATCCTGTGAAGCAGATATATTTCAGAGGAAATGCATAGTTCAGGGTGTAATGATCTCGCAGAGACACCATAACATCCGCTGCTTTTGCCAGAGAATCCATGTACCTATAGACAAATCTGTCCAGTTTGTTAGTGTAGGGACTGCTCCCCTACCCATGACAGAAATCTGCCTCTCATTTGTCTACACCTGGAATGTACACAGTGGATAAAGGTTTGACCTAAAGTTATGCCTAGAACAGGATCCAATCTAGCTCTCTTGATATGGCAAGACATCTGGTGTCTCTCTGATGAATGTCCCGCCGTTGTGCTGTGCAAACTGGATTTGGATCAGATGACCCTCTAGTAAGATGGACCAACACTGCAGAAATAGAAAAAATCACCCTAAGTTATAGGATGTTTGATCAGGAGATGAGACTTCTTGAACAACCAAATCCTTTGGACCAGAATGCAATAATCAATACTACCGGTTATTGCCAGTGGCAGCAATCGTACAAACAAAAAAAACCCTACCGGCTAACTGTACTGAAGTTGATTGATAGACACCAGCCTGCTTGAAGATGGATTAAAAATTCCTCTGTTTCAGCAGGAGTTTCAATCAGTCTACATCGGGCTTTAGTATAGTTTTATATAGTTAACTAGGTTAAAAAAAGGCACATGTCCTTCAGTTATAAGTGATTAGAAAGCTTCCCCTTTTCTTTATTAATGTAACATACATGTTATACTTACCTGCTCTGTGCAATCCTTCTCTTCTTGGGTCCCCCGCTGAGTGCCCACCATAGGAAGCCACATAGGCTCACTCTCCAGCCGAGCTACTAGCATCTATTCAGACTCACAACCTGGCTCTGCCCCGCCCTGCTCACTGGTTTTGACTGAGAGTAGCGGAGCCAATGGCTCCCACTGCTCTCAGCCAAGCCTGTGAGAGCTGGGAAAGGAGAGAGGAGCTGCTGTAGATGTGCCCAGTGTGCACAGAGAATGCATTAATTAAAAATGCCTTTTTATCTTTGCAACCATTTTAAGTTTCTCACAAAAGTAAACTCCCGGGGCCAAAATTACTTTCTTATCCCAAAAAGGCAATTGGTTTAAAACACACTTAATCAAAATACTTCCATACTAAATCATTTATAACCTTAGCTGTGGATAATAATTGTTAAAGTATAAGAAAAGTATCCATCATATCCTATAAATAATAATAATATTCCTATTACTGTCTCAAGGAGCAGAGTACCCTACAGCATAACCACTCTTAACAAGAAAAACTCTTCCTATAGTGCTAGTTAAAGCCCAATGAACCCTGCTTATCTATATACTGTAATGCAGACAGTGAGAGAGTCATAGTCCAACTTTTTCTATGTGAAGGCAACACAGAGTATTTTAACCCTTGCTGCTGCAGTTATCAGTGTAAAATGAAAATGTAAAATAACCCCATATGTATTACTGTTTTTTGCAGCCTGGCTTCATTACAGTGATAAATAAAGGGGAGTGCAACTGGGCTTTAACCATCTACTTTCTAAATGCCCCTTGTCCATTATTGTGTACGAAAGACAAACGTAACTATCAATAGTGTAGGAAGGGGTTCTTTTACAAAAGGAGTAGTTAAGCTGTAAAAATCCTTACCACGCATAAGTATGATACAGTTTTTAGGAACTTACATTTTTCACCAAGCATAAATTTGCTCACTCCGTCAAGGGTTAGTTCATCAAGGACCTTTTCTGGAGTGCCCAATGCCAGCGTCCGGGAAAAAAGGGTCGCGCAGGAAATCCACTGAAAAAAAAACGGCAACTTATTCCAATTCCTCTGTAGGGTTTGAAAACCACAGATATGGTACAATTCAAGGATGTAAAGTACAAACATTTCAAATGAGTGGAGGGGTTAACCAAAGTGACCTTATTCTTTAAAGAGTTTTCACTTTTAAATAGAATAGAAAAGGCTACCATAATTTTTTCAAACACTTTCCAAAATTAATAACATTTAAACAATCCAAACATACCATAAGTGCAAAGCATACTTCAAAGTTTGATAGTTAAAAAACACTATTTTAGACAAAAGTTGATAAATATATTAACTAAGCAGTTTATGTTGGAGATTATTTATGTAACTTATTTTCACTGGGCAATCAGGTAACACTTGGATGCGGTCATGATCTAATTTATTTCCACTAATGCTCCCATATAAAAACTCATAGCAATGACCATTGTTTTTTAAAAAACTTTCTAAACAGTGCATGATCAGATTTCAAAAAAAAATTTGATCCAAGTTTCCAATTCAGTCTTTCCTCTACCAAAAATCTACCAAGGCTGTCTAATATTGTACATACACTTACTGGATTTTCAAGACAGTGAACCTCATGTATCTAACAGGTTACAGACAGGAAAACCCTTCAATGTTGATTAACGTTTTAAAGAAGAACTATAGGCAAAACGTTTTTCTTTTGATAGAGCAAGGGAGGGTTTTAAAACCCCTGTCAGATTTTCTTTCTTTGCATGTATGTCCCATTGGCGAGATGCCCCTTCACTTCTTGTCCCATAGCCAAAAGAGAAAGTGACAGGAAATCCCTGCACACTAAGGTAATCCACTGGGGCCCCCCAGGTCACCAGCTCTAGAGTCCCCATTGGAAGATTTTCCCCTCTATCACTTTTCTGGGGACAACCCAAAATTCGAGATTTTCTTTTAATTGCAGTTTCAATGATAATGGTAAAAAGGACAAATGGAGTGTTCAAATCTCCCTAATAGGGCACAGACAGCAATAAAATCCTGACAGGTGTTCTAATCCCTCTCCACTCCATCCAAAACTACAAAAAAACTTTTGCCTTTAATTATACTTTAAAGCCTGGTTCACACAATTGCGGCTCTGTGGGCCATGTTTGCTGGGCACAGCAGTGCATTCATTTGAATGCGTGTCACGTAGCAGCCGGGTAATCACATGGTACATGCTTTTGTACCATGCGTATTTTCCAGAGGTTTCGGGACCTGCAAATGCGTTTTGCGATTCCGACACCTGCAACCACCCACATTAGTGTGAACCAGGCCTAAACCTTTGAAATGGTGCAACTATTATTGCCTTGTGAATTAGCTATACTACTACAGTCGAAGGCACTGTTTCTACCATTACAAAAAACACACAAGTTTAAAGTGCATGCAAAGCAACAGATTTACTTCATGGCTAACTAACCTGCTGGTTTGAATGCCCATAGGAGCAATCTGAAATGCCCAGTACCCCTGGATATTAGAAGCCTGTAACTCGCTCCATTTATGCTAGCCATACATGGGTCAGAGTTTGGACAATTCCTGCTGACTGGCCATAATTCAACGACCCTGTTGGCACCATCTGGCTTGATAAATTTCAATTTGAAAATTGGAGGAGCCAGAGGAAAAGTGCATGGCCGAACAGTGACTACAGCCAATGCCAGATGCAAATTCCATTTAGTTATTCTGACAGCTGAGGGGAAAGCAATTGTTAGAAAACAATAGCTGGCAGGTGAGATTTCTCCATCCGCACTGTCTGGCATGGATGGAGGAGTCAAATGGTTTCTCTTGTTCGGCCCATGGGAAAGAAGTCTATGTGTGTATGTCTAGCCTTAGTTCTTAGCCCTATGGGGGCTCTGACCGAATCAACTTGGTCAGAGCCAACCCATGGCTCCCTCTCTTTGCTACTATAGGCAAACAGAGCAGCAAAGGAACTACTGATCAGATATCTATTTCTTTTACCTGCCTGGGGGTACTGAACTGAGTAAAACAATCCCTGCAGAAGCAAAGATCCCGGAGTCACTCTAAGGGTATTTCTTGAAGCCTGTGCTACACATGAATCCCTTTTCTTTTTTTTGTGCATGAAGGTTTCTGTATGTGAGAGACACCATGCAGCTTGCAATAGGTGTGTTTGAAAATAATTCTGCTGCATCAGAAGCTCAAGTTCTCAAGATTAACACTGTCAAAAGGGGTTTTGTGGGCTGGTGCTCTAAAACACTAGCAGAATTTTATTTGAAAACGTTTGTTTCAAGAACCTTTGTTTGATTTTCAAATGGTTAGTGGGGTCAAATTGATGTTTTTGGGGTTTTTTAACCATATCGATGAGAAAATTTAAAGGAGAAAGGAAACTTTTTTTCAAACGAATGAATGTGAATGTGGTTTTTGTTCAGGTAAGTCAATTGACTTAAAAAATTGACTCTAAAAAGCAAACCTTTTTTGAAGTACATTTGAACAACCTTTGTCAAGTCATGGAATATAATAAGTAAAAAATATAAAATAAGTAAAGCTATGCTGATCTTGGATCCTTCACCTTTCTTCTGCAATAAAATTATTTTCTTACTCAGGCCTTGTAACATTTCTCTTCAATGTGGTGCCATTGCTGGCAGCATGAAATGGGAAGGGGTTTTGTTTGTCTGCTGGACACCTTTTTAATGAATGATTAGACTCACTGCTACAGGGCAGCACGGGTGCGCAAAGTCGTGTATATATACACGTGATTTTGCATTTCCAGGTAGGGGGCTTGCGCGCTCAGTGATTACCGAGGATCTCCGATGGGGAGGAGAACTGTTTTTTTTTTACTAACAGTTCTCCTCCCTGTCAGCTCGGGCACACTGCTTAGGATGGCTGTGCACAGTAAAAACACACCCAGCACACAGTTAACCCTTTGAACACCCCTCGTTGTAACCCCTTCCTGCCCAATGCCATTAGTACAGTGTCAGTGCTGTTTTTTTTTTTAGCACGGATCACTATATTGGTGTCACTGGGGATGTCAGGGGCACCAAGTCAGTTCCCCCCAGTGTCAGAATGTCGGCCGCAGTCCCGCTATAAGTCGCTGATTGCCGCCATTACTAGTAAAAATAAAAATCCCAGTATATATACCGCCATTTGTAAATGCTATAAACTTTCACGTAAACCAATAAATTTACACGTATTGGGTTTTTTTTCTTTTTAGCAAAGACATGTCGCAGAATACATTTTGGCCTAAATTTATGCCGAAATATGATTTTTTAAATTTTTTTTACTGGTCATGTTTAATAGACATGTTTTTCAAAGTCAAAAAACATTGTTTTTTTTTCTCAAAATTGTCGGGTCACAAAAAATAAAAATGCACAGGCAATCAAATACCACCGAAAGAAAGCTCAATTCGTGGGAAAAAAGGACGTAAAATTAATTTGGGTACAGCGTTGCATGACCGTGCAATTGTCAGTTAAAATAACGCAGCGCCATAACACAAAAAATGGCTTGGTCAGGAAGGGGGTTAAGTCCTCTGGAGGGCAAGTGGTTAACAAATCTTGTTTGCAATCAATGGCCCGCATTTGTGGGAGTATTTTGTAGTATAGTGTCCCATAGAAAGTGTTGATTCTGAAAGGAAAGTAAAGGTTTTCTGACAAATCTGCTGGGGTGTACTCATTTATGCTGAGTACTGTATGTACATATGTACCGTATGGATTTTCAGTTTTGTCTGGAATGTTTCTATAACTTTGCTTCCTCATTCATTATGCCTTAAAAATCCAATGCGGGAAAAAAAAAAACCCAGCAAGAAGCAATTTCTAATCCTTCATTTTCTGATGAAAAAAATTAAACAGTCTAGTGCAAGATGGAATTTTTATAACAAGTCTTTTTTTAATATGCAACCCTGACTGACACACATAAAAAACTTACTTTCTGATGCACTGCTGCTTTCTTCACTGGAATCCGATTCCTAAAAAAAATAATCAAATATGTATTACTTATTAAAAGGTATTTATACAACACTGACAATTTATGCATCATTGTACAATATAAATATGTAAGTCACATCTGTATCTGAGGAGAGAAGTATGTTGTCTAACCACTTGCTGTCCAGCCATTGTGCATAGTAAGCCAGACGGCTCCCCCCTGAGGGCAGGAGGCTGCTTTAAAATGATCTGCCCTTTACGATGCTCATGCGCACCCTCTGGCATGCATGAGTACACTCTGTGACCATTAAGTCCATTGAACACAACAGATAGCAAAATTAATGTACACAGCCAGATAAAATATGTCCTGTACCACTTGATCACTGTGACCATCCACACCAATCGCTGTGAGAGGAAACAGAGGGTTTCCTAATTGTGGATGCCAGCAGCTTGTTTACAGTGTCTTCACTTCAGTCTGGTTCAGTAGGAATCACAATCATGGGAAAGACTGCTGACCTGACAGTTCTGCAGAAAACCATCATTGACACCCTCCATAAGGAGGAAAAGCCTCAAAAAGGTAATTGCAAAAGAAGTTGGATGTTCCCAAAGTGCTGTATCAAAGCACATTAATAGAACGTTATGTGGAAGGGAAAAGTGTGGAAGAAAAAAGGTGCACAAGCAGCAGGAATGACCGCAGCCTGTAGAGGATTGTCAGGAAAAGGCCATTCAAAAGTGTTGGGGACTTTCACAAGGAGTGGACTGAGGCTGGAGTCAGTGCATCAAGAGCCACCACACACAGATGGATCCTGGACATGGGCTTCAAATGTCGTATTCCTCTTGTCAAGCCGCTCCTGAACAACAAACAATGTCAGAAGCGTCTTACCTGGGCTAAAGAAAAGCAGACCTGGTCTGTTGCTCAGTGGTCCAAAGTCCTCTTTTCTGATGAGAGCAACTTTTGCATCTCATTTGGAAACCAAGGACCCAGAGTATGGAGGAAGAATGGAGAGGCACACACTGCAAGATGCTTGAAGTCCAGTGTGAAGTTTCCACAGTCTGTGTTGATTTGGGGAGCCATGTCATCTGCTGGTGCTGGTCCACTGTGCTTCATTAAGTCCAGGGTCAACGCAGCCATCTACCAGGAGATTTTGGAGCACTGCATGCTTCCTTCCACAGACAAGCTTTATGGGGGATGCTGACTTCATTTTCCAGCAGGACTTGGCACCTGCCCACACTGCCAAAAGCACCAAAACCTGGTTCAATGACCGTGGGATTACTGTGCTTGATTGGCTAGCAAACTCACCTGACCTGAACCTCATATAGAATCTATGGGGAATTGCCAAGAGAAAGATAAGAGACATGAGACCGAACAATGCAGAAGAGCTGAAGGCCGCTATTGAAGCATCTTGGTCTTCCATAACACTGTCAGAGCCTGGAATCGAACCTGGGCCTTCTGCGGTGAGAGACAGTGTTTCTTCTCACTGAGCCACCTGGAATGCTGGACAGCTCCCTTGACAATTCTTTGGATGATCCTGCCTTTGCCCTGTTTTGTCTTGAACCTTGAACTCCTTGCTCCCCCCATGAACTTCCTATAAAAGCCATATCTCTGCACTTCCTGGTTGCCAGATTATTGTGCCTTACCAGCCAATATCCCGCTTACTGTTCCTGCTGCCGTCTTCCTCTACGTTACCGACCTTTGGCTTGCTACTGACTACGATTCTGCCTCATCCTATCTACTACCATTGGGTGACCGACCCTTGGCTTGTGACTGACTCCGCTTCTGTTTGATCCCTGAACTGTTTGATCCGCTTTTGGTTTCCAGCCTACTCATTCCCTGATGGGGTGATCCTGAGATCTGCGACCTGGCATTCACAACGCAGCCAAATCCATCTCCACCATTAGGAGCTCTGGGGAAGACCGGTGGATGCTTAGACCCTGCACCTCAGGTGAGCCTGCGTCATTCCCAGGGTGGGCCGCTGGTGTACCAATCCTGCTGGTTTCAGGTAAGCCTTACAACTGCTGTAGCAACTGGTCTCTGAACCTGACCCAGATCGTGACAGAATAATCTGGCCTAAAACATGGAGGCCGCTATAGCAAATGCCATGGCTCCTGTCAGGCAGCAAATTTCAGAGCTGCAAAAGTTTGGTGTTACCTACCAAGAAAAATTTTCTGAACTGCAAGGTATAGTAGAAAGGCAACAGGGAGAGATTCAGGCTCTGCAGAGACAACTGCTGAACCGAGATGATCCTAGCTCACATATGCCCCAACCATCTAAGTTTAATGGAGACCGCCGCCAATACAGGGGTTTCCTTAATCAATGTCGTGTATATTTCCAAATGTACCCTGCTGCGTTTCCTTCAGAGAAAAAGAAGGTAATGTTTATTATTGGGCTTCTGACTGGGGAAGCTCTAGCTTGGGCCTCCCCTTATATAGAGCAGAACATAACATTCTGAATAATTTTGATACCTTTTTGACTGCCAATGAATCAGGTTTTTGATGATCCCAACCGTTGTGCTACTGCCGAAGCAAAATTGCATAGTCTGCGGCAGGGTAGACGCTCGGTCACTGAATATACAGCTGAATTCAGAAGTTGGATGGCAGATACCACTTGGAACCCTGCAGCACAAAAGAGCCAGTTCGCCAAGGGCTTTCTGAACAGGTAAAGGATGAGCTTGCCAGAGGTGATACTCCTAATGATCTTGAGGAATTTATCCAATTGTGTATCTGAATCGATCAAAGGCTTACAGAAAGGAGGAAGGAGAGGTTGGGAATGTTTGGAAGTAATAGGGGCATGCATTTCTCTGCTAGTCCATTTGTTCAGCAGGATTCAAGAGTCTCTCTGGGTTCTAACACTCCTGAGCCTATGCAGGTTGATGCGATCAAGAGATCCATTTCCATCCAGGAGAAAGAGAGAAGACGTTCAAAGAACTTATGTCTTTATTGTGGGGATTCTGGTCATTATGCAATTAATTGTCCTAACAAGGTTAAAAGAACTATTGCTGTGACTGATGTGATTGAGCCTGAACACATAAACTCTATAAGCCAGTCTGTCTCCCCCACTGATTTCTGAAGAGAATAAAGTGAACTCACTACTTTCTCACTTTGTTATCCCCATTAAACTTGTATCTGAGGGCCGTGAAAAAGCTATGCTGGACTCCGGGGCGGGGGGGAACTTTATGGATATAGAGTTTGCCAACAGCAATAATATTGAAGCAAGAAACACATTTACCCCTATTGATATGGAGACAGTTGATGGGTCACCCTTATCTTCAGGACCTGTTACCCATAAAACGGTCCCCCTGAAACTGTTGTTTGAGGCTGACCATTGTGAGACCATCAGCTTTCAGCTGATTACATCACCCAAGTTTCCCATCATCCTGGGCATTCCTTGGTTCTCCACTCACAATCCTTCCATCAACTGGGGAGCATGGACTATAGATTTTACGTCCTCCCACTGTGAAAAACATTGCAAAAAACCTTGCTGACCAAGTTTATCACCGACCAAGGAAGCGCAAGGTGATATAGTGGCTACCCAGTCATATGACAACAACTTGCCCACATATTACCATGAGTTCCGGGACGTCTGTGACAAGAAGAATGCAGATCTATTACCCCCTCATCGCCCATATGATTGCCCCATTGAGCTGCTCCCAGGGGCAGAAATACCTTTTGGCCACCTCTTCAATCTGTCGGAACCTGAATTAAAAGTACTCAGGGTGTGGATCGATGAGAATTTGGAGAAGGGCTTTATTAGACACTCAACTTCTCCAGCGGGGGCAGCCCTGTTCTTTGTTGAAAAGAAAGACTCCACCTTGTGTCCATGCATTGACTACAGAGACATGAATAAAATTACTATTAAAAACCGCTATCCATTACCTTTGATCTCTGAAATGTGGAAAGACTTCGCTCTGCCAAGATCTTTACCAAGCTTGATCTACGAGGGGCATATAACCTTGTCCGCATTCGTCAAGGAGACGAATGGAAGACTGCCTTCAGAACTAGGTATGGGCATTTCGAGTCCTTGGTGATGCCGTTTGGACTTTGCAATGCCCCTGCAATATTTCAACATTTTGTCAACGATGTTTTTCGTGATCTGTTGGACCAATTTGTGATTGCCTATCTAGATGATATCCTTATCTTTTCCAATAATTGGGAGGAGCACCGCAAACATGTTTGCACAGTCTTTGAAAGATTAAGGAAGAATAGACTCTACATTAAATTGGAAAAATGTGAGTTTGAACAAACCCAGATCCAGTTCTTAGGCTATATCATTTCTCCAGAGGGCGTGAGCATGGATCCCGAGAAAATCAAAGCAGTGGTAGGTAGATTGGTCAGCACCTGGAAATGTTAAGGAAATTCAACGTTTCGTCGGGTTTGCCAACTTTTACAGAAAATTTATAAGAAACTTTTCTAAAGTGATATCTCCAATCACACAGCTTACAAAGAAAGGGGTACCCTTTGTGTGGACCTCTGAGGCACAAGCTGCATTTGAAAAACTAAAAACTCTTTTCACTTCTGCACCAATTTTGGTACATCCGGATCCTGAACTACCCTTTACAGTGGAAGTGGATGCCTCCAATTCTGCCGTGGGAGCGATCCTGTCTCAGCGAAGTGGTGAAAAGATGCAGCTTCATCCTTGTGCTTCTTCTCCCGTTTGATGTCCTCAGCCGAAAGAAATTACGACATTGGGAATAAAGAGCTACTGGCAATTAAGGAAGCCTTTTCTGAATGGAGGCATCTGCTAGAAGGAGCTAATCATCCTGTAACTGTTCTCACAGACCATAAAAATCTGGAATTTATTCGTTCGGCCAAGAGATTGTCTTCTAGACAAGCTCGCTGGTCTCTATTCTTTTCCAGATTTAATTTTGTTATATCATATCGCCCGGGATCGAGGAATGGTAAGGCCGATGCCTTATCAAGGATGCTGTCCGAGCCTCCCCTGGAGGGCAACTCCGAATGTTCCATCCTAACACAAAAAACTTCCTAGGGGCCACAAGTGCAAAGACATTCTTGAGTCTTCTCAAAGAGGGGTATGAGAATGACCCACTTCTCAATGATCCTCCTAGGGACATGAACCTGGTGTACAAAAATGGCTTTTGGGTTCAAGGACATCATCTTTATGTACCTGAATCTGTTCGGGTGGAAGCTCTCAAGTTGGTTCATGATTCCAAACTTGCTGGGCATTTTGGAGTTACTAAGACCGAAGAACTGTTGTCACGTTCCTTTTGGTGGCCGGGGTACAAGAAGGATGTCAAACGCTATGTGGCCTCATGCTTGACCTGTGCACGCAATAAAACTCCCCGAGCCTCTCCTTTGGGGTTGCTTCAGCCACTCCCTGTTCCATCGAGACCATGGGGGTCTATTTCTATGGATTTTGTGGTAGATTTACCTCCCTCAAAAGAAATGACCACCATTTTGGTGGTGGTTGACCGTCTCACAAAGATGGCCCATTTTGTTCCAGTGAAGGGGGTGCCCACTGCTGAACAGACTGCAGAACTAATGGTTCGAGAAGTATTTAAACTGCATGGAATCCCTGATGATGTGGTGTCTGACAGAGGTGTGCAGTTTACTTCGAAATTTTGGAAAAGCTTTTGCTCAGCCTTGGGTGTTACAATCAATCTGTCCTCTGCTTTTCATCCCCAGTCTAATGGTCAGACTGAGAGAACTAATCAAACAATGGAGCAGTATCTTCGATGCTTTGTCACTTATCTTCAGGATGACTGGGTGGACTGTTTTCCCACTGCAGAGTTTGCATACAACAATTCTAAACATAGTTCCACCTCTCAAAGTCCCTTTTACTTAAACAACGGTTATCATCCAGTTTTTTTTATTCCTGATCTCCCTATCACAACTCCAATTCCTGCTGTTACCGACAGACTAACTACATTGCAGGAGATTCAGGAGAAATTGATTGAGACTTTGAGGGAAGCTCAGGAATATTACAAAAAGGCTGCTGACAGACACCGAAGAGCACTTCCTACGTTTCATGTGGGTGACAAAGTTTGGTTATCAACAAAGAATTTGAAGGTGCATGTGCCATCTGCTAAGTTGGGTCAAAAGTTTGTTGGTCCTTTTCAGATTTCTGCTCAGATCAACCCAGTTACCTTTCGCTTAAAACTTCCTGACAGTATGAAGATTCACCCGCTTTTTTCATGTATCGCTTTTCAAACCATTTCATGAAAATCCTTTCTCTGGAAGAATTCTTCCACCTCCTCCACCTGTTGAGGTACAGGGCGAAGAAGAATATGTGGTGGAGAAGATTCTTGATTCTAGGATGTTTAGAGGAAAGTTGCAATATCTGGTCCAATGGGAAGGATATGGGCTAGAGGAAAATTCTTGGGAGCCTGAGGAACATGTTCATGCTCCTAGACTAACAAGAGAATTCCACCAGAGGTTTCCCCACAAGCCTGGTCCTAAGACGTCCAGGGGACGTCCTGTGAGGAGGGGAGTACTGTCAGAGCCTGGAATCGAACCTGGGCCTTCTGCGGTGAGAGACAGTGTTTCTTCTCACTGAGCCACCTGGAATGCTGGACAGCTCCCTTGACAATTCTTTGGATGATCCTGCCTTTGCCCTGTTTTGTCTTGAACCTTGAACTCCTTGCTCCTCCCATGAACTTCCTATAAAAGCCATGTCTCTGCACTTCCTGGTTGCCAGATTATTGTGCCTTACCAGCCAATATCCCGCTTACTGTTTCTGCTGCCGTCTTCCGCTACGTTACCGACCTTTGGCTTGCTACTGACTACGATTCTGCCTCATCCTATCTACTACCATTGGTGACTGACCCTTGGCTTGTGACTGACTCCGCTTCTGTTTGATCCCTGAACTGTTTGATCCGCTTTTGGTTTCCAGTCTACTCATTCCCTGATGGGGTGATCCTGAGATCTGCGACCTGGCATTCACAACGCAGCCAAATCCATCTCCACCATTAGGAGCTCTGGGGAAGACCGGTGGATGCTTAGACCCCGCACCTCAGGTGAGCCTGCGTCATTCCCAGGGTGGGCCGCTGGTGTACCAATCCTGCTGGTTTCAGGTAAGCCTTACAACTGCTGTAGCAACTGGTCTCTGAACCTGACCCAGATCGTGACAAACAATCACGGCTTGAACTATCTTGCTTTGCATGCAATGAGTCTATCTCATATATTAGTTTCACCTTTTAAGTTGCATTACTGAAATAAATGAACTTTTGCACGATATTCTAATTTTTCGAGTTTCACCTGTACTTGACAGAATCGGTCTAATGATTGACTTCTGCCAAACAGTGATCGAAAAATTTGAACATTCCTTGCTGAACCAACCAAATTTCGTTCCATCTATATCCAGCTTTACATGGGTCACTAAACACAAACTACTATCAGGATAGAAAACACAAATGAATGATATTATAAACATAATTACCTTCTACCAACCTAGCAAAGAGCAAGAGATTAGAAACCAATAAATCTCTCATTTTGTGTGTATTTTTATATCTCTGAACATTATTGTTAGCTCTTCCACATAATGTGGAAATATTTTAGGTTATGTTTAGTATTTAATATTTGATTTAAGCACAATAAAAACAAAACCAACTACTAAATTATTTCATATTTGCACTAGCAGTATTAAAGTACCATATTTTTCGCTCCATAAGACGCACCTAGGTTTTACCGTAGAGGTGGAAAACAAGAAAATAAATATTCTGAACCAGTGGACTGCAGACATAGTACAAATGACCAGAGACTGCAGACATAGTACAGATGACCAGAGACTGCAGACATAGCATAAGAAATGACCAGAGACTACAGGCACAGTACAGGAGATGTCCGCTACTATGTATGATGTATTATGTCCGCAGTCCCTGGTCACCTCCTGTACTGCGTCCTCAGTCTCTTCACCTCCTGTACTGCGTCCTCAGTCTCTTCACCTCCTGTACTGTGTCCGCAGTCTCTGGTCACCTCCTGTACTGTGTCCGCAGCCTCTGGTCACCTCCTGTACTGTCCGCAGTCTCTGGTCACCTCCTGTACTGTCCGCAGTCTCTGGTCATCTCCTGTACTGTCCGCAGCCTCTGGTCATCTCCTGTACTGTCCGCAGCCTCTGGTCATCTCCTGTACTGTCCGCAGCCTCTGGTCATCTCCTGTACTGTCCGCAGCCTCTGGTCATCTCCTGTACAGTGTGACCGCAGCCTCTGGTCACCTGACCCTGTACTGTGTCCACAGTCTCTGGTCACCTCCTGTACTGTGTCCGCAACTCTGGTCATCTCCTGTACAGTACAGGAGATGACCAGAGACTGCGGACACAGTACAGGAGATGACCAGAGACTGCGGACACAGTACAGGAGATGACCAGAGACTGCGGACAGTACAGGAGATGACCGAGACTGCGGACACAGTACAGGAGATGACCACAGACTGCGGACACAGTACAGGAGATGACCAGAGACTGCGGACAGTACAGGAGATGATCAGAGACTGATGGAGACAGTACAGCGGATGACCAGTCTGCGGACAAAGGGGATGCAAGAGACGGACAGTACAGGGGACCAGAGATGACCAGAGTCTGCGGACAGTACAGGAGATGACCAAGAGACTGCGGACAGTACAGGAGATGACCGGAGACTGCGGACAGTACAGGAGATGACCACAGACTGCGGACACAGTACAGGAGATGACCAGAGACTGCGGACACAGTACAGGAGATGACCAGAGACTGCGGACACAGTACAGGAGATGACCAGAGACTGCGGACACAGTACAGGAGATGACCAGAGACTGCGGACACAGTACAGGAGATGACCGGAGACTGCGGACAGTACAGGAGATGACCACAGACTGCGGACACAGTACAGGAGATAACCAGAGACTGCGGACAGTACAGGAGATGATCAGAGACTGCGGAGACAGTACAGCGGATGACCAGAAACTGCAGACAGTACAGGGGATGACCAGAGTCTGCGGACAGTACAGGGGATGACCAAGAGACTGCGGACCTGTCATGTGTCCCAGAAGATGCCGTACCATTCACAAAGCGCAGCGCTTCTCGCGCATGCGCACTGGGCACCCGGCTGTCACAGCCGAGAGCCCACACTAAAGACGCCGGCGTGGGAAGACTGCACAGCGCGGGACCGAGGAACAGGTAAGGTCCTACTGCAGAAAAGAGATGAGCGGCCGGCCCGGTATTCTGACACTGTGGCGGTGGGAATATCGGACCACCGCTCCATAAGACACACTGACATTTTCCCCCCTTTTTTGGGGGGAAAAAAGTGCGTCTTATGGAGCGAAAAATACGGTACATTTTTTATAAGGTTTGCAGGCTTAAATGGCAAAATAGGAGAAGACAATACTGAATAGACAGTTTATATCATGATCCAAAGGTTCAGTGAGTTGTGTACCTCTGATTCTTCTGCCTTGGGTTTGAGTTCCTCACTTTCTTTTGCCTCTGTACAAAAAAGAAAAACGAAATCAGTAAAATATATATATATATATATATATATATATAATATCATCATACATTTATTATGGTAGATGTGTGCAGACGTTTTACATAATCAATTAGAAACATTGTGAAACATTCCAAAAATACTTTTATATTTCAGAATAAAAGAACCTACATCAGTATAGGAGTTCACCTACTGTTTTTAAAGATGAACTGCTGAACTACAAAAATTATTTAAATTTTATATGCTAAATAAATTTTAAAGAGCTGCTTTTGCTTTTCTATACTCACAAACAATTTGGAGCTGACCTCCATAGTACAACTTCTCTGCCACAAGATGTCCTAAGCCTTCCAGTTTTAAAGCAGTATTAAACCCAAAACCATAATACATTGCAGCTTACCAATCATTAGATGTGGTGGCTGCATTAGTTTTCTTTTTTAGGCTATTTTCCCTCTATTATCACCGGGTGATCTGGCCAGTAACATACGTTCTGCATTGGAGTGCCCCCACTCTGGATGAATGAGCACAGGGACAGACAGAAGCATTGTCAGTCTAGGGGGAAAGGGAGTGTTAGATGTACTAGCAGATTTAAATATACCAACAAACTGAAGCCAAACTCCAGCTCACACTGCAGTTACACAAGCAGTTACAGCAACATTTTTTTTCCTTTTCGGATAAAGATTTTACATAAATAAAAGCATTCCTGTCAGTGGTAAATTGTTTGTCTTAACACTCTGAATTTATACATTTGTAGGAGATCATGTTCTGTTGAAAAACAACACTTACTGGCCAGTGCATCAGGTGAAAATAAAAAAAAGAGCCTAAAAAAGAAAGCGAATGCAGCCATCACATCTCAGAATTAAGCAGCAATATAATAAAGGTTTGCTTTTGGGTTTATTACGGTTTTAATGACAGCCAGCAATCATTTAACCCTCTTCCTGTAAAACCAAGGCTGTATCTTCTAGACTGAATGGCACGGATACATCTTTATGTGAGTGCCACTCAGTCCAGGAGAAAGGACAGCCATCTCCTTAAAAAAGGTAAAGCCCCATGGTGGGGGAATATAAATAGACTTCAGGATTTAAAAAATCATGTACTTAGATAAATGTTCAGCCTGCTATTGCTGAATACTTTTTGACATAACATTTTAACAAGATCGCCAAAGACATTTATACATTCATTTAGGCCCAATTCATATTATAATATAGTGGGAACGCTATGTGATTCCAACAGCGTGATTGTCACACTATTCTGCATGTTGCATAGGACCAGCCCATCTTCTACTTTAAGGTTTTCATACCCTTAAGACCTCGTTCAAACCATGGTGCAGATCTATTTTGAAGCCGCTCAGGTCACGGGATCTCTCCAGCAGCAGCCTCTGTGTAGAGGAGAGATCGCCGTTAACAGCTGAAAATGCCTGGGAGATGACGTCACCCATTGGCTTACTATGGGGCATCCAGTGTTAGCTGTCCCTCTTCTACACAGAAGCCATTGCTGACAGCTGATCATAGGACCGGAGTAACTTCAGAATAGGTAAGTATAGCGATATTTTTTTAACAGGTTAGCTAGAATAGGCTTAGAATGAGGGTAGGAATAGGTTTAGCCTTAGTTAGCTTTTGACTAAGCTACTTTAATGATGTTAAGAGCATCCCCACCCTATTTTGTATGTGTAGCTGTGGAGGTGCTAGCTGTTGATCAGCCCAGCACTGACAGCTTACCACCAGGTTTGACCGATCTCGTGTACTGAATATTATATCCGAGCCTTTGATGTCAGGGGCCACACTAGTGGTCCCCTATAACACATACACTATATTGCCAAAAGTATTGGGACGCTTGCCTTTACACGCACATGAAACTTAGTTCATAGGGTTCAATATTGAGTTGGCCCATCCTTTCTAGATATAAGAGCTTCAACTCTTTTGGAAAGGCTGTCTACAAGGTTTAGGAGTGTGTCTATGGGAATGTTTGACCATTCTTTCAGAAGCGCATTTATGAGGTCAAGCACTGATGTTGAACAAGAAGTCCTGGCTCACAGTCAACGCTCTAATTCATCCCAAAGGTGTTCTATCAGGTTGAGGTCAGGACTCCACCCCAAACTCGCTCATCCATGTCTTTATGGACACTGGTGCTCAGTCATGTTGGAATAGGAAGGGACCTTCCCCAAACTGTTCCCACAAAGTTGGGAGCATAAAATTGTCCAAAATATCTTGGTATGCTGAGACCTTAAGAGTTCCCTTCACTGGAACTAAGGGGCCAAGCCCAGCTCCTGAGAAACAACCCCACAACATAATCCCCCCTCCACCAAACTTTACACTTGGCACAATACAGTCAACGGTACGTTTCCCTGGCAGCCACCAAACCCAGACAAGTCCATTGGATTGCAAGACAGAGAAGCGTGATTTGTCACTCTAGAGAACACATCTTCACTGCTCTAGAGTCCAGTGGTGGCGTGCTTTACATCACTGCATCCGATGCTTTGCGTTGCACTTGGTGATGTAAGGCTTGGATGCAACTTTTCGGCTATGGAAACCCATTCCATTATTACTATTATACAGGATTTATATAGCGTCAATAGTTTGCTCAGTGCTTTACAATATAAAGGGAGACAATACAAGTTCACTACAAGAGGGATAGGGGGGCCCTGCTCCTTGGAGCTTACAATCTAATGAAGCTCTACGCATGGTTGTCGTGCTAATATGAAGGCCGAATGAAGTTTGGAGGTCTTTCGCTATTGACTCTGCAGACAGTTGGTGACTGCAGCATGCACTGATCCCGCTCTGTCATTTTACGTGGCCTATCACTTCGTGTCTGAGTTGCTGTTGTTCCCAGTTGCTTCCACTTTGTTATAATACCACTAACAGTTGACTGTGGAATATTTAGTAGCAAGGAAATTTCACAAATGGACTTAAAAGTGGCAACCTATCACGGTATCATGTTTGAATTCACTGAGCTCCTTAGAGCGACCCATTCTTTCACAAATGTTTGTAGAATCAGTCTGCATGCCTAGGTGCTTGATTTTATACACCTGTGACCACGGAGGTGATTGGAACACCTGAATCCAAAGATTTGGAGGGCTGTCCTACTATGTTTGGCCATATAGTGTAAGGCAGGCCATGCATGGGTTGAATGCCGAATTCATTTTCATTTCTTTCATGCAAAAGCCCTGTCAGGTTTTTCTTGCTCTGTGCCCATTAGGGAGATTCACCCTCTCTATTTGTCATGTTTACCATTATCACCAAGAGTGACAGTAAACCCCAATCTTGAGTTGTCACCAAAATAGGGACAGAGGGGAAATCTTCCAATTGGGAGGCTAGTTCTGGTGACAGCCAGGAATTCTCTCACTGATTTGGAAGGGTGTCCCAATACTTTTGGAGGGAGAGAGAGAGAACACAAACCCCAATTCCAAAAAGTTGGGATGCTGTGTAAAATCTACATAAAATCTACACTGCTTTGCAAATCTCATGCTCCCATATTTTGCTCCCATATTTTATTCACAATATAAAGTAGAAAATATATCAAATGTTTAAAAGTAGAAATTGTACCATTTTAAGAAAAGATACGGTAATTTTGAAATTGTTGGCAGCAGCACATCTCCAAAAAGTTGAGACAGGGCAACAAAAAACAAACTAAGTAAGTGGTACTAACAAGGAAGAGCTGGAAGAACATTTTACAACCAATTGAGTTAACTGACAACAGGTCAGTAACATGACTGGGTATAAAAAGAGTATCTTAGAGAGTCAGTGTCTAAGAAGTAAAATGGACGGAGGTTCACCAATCTTTTATTGCTCTGTGCCCCTGTTAGGGAGATTCACCCTCTCTATTTGTCATGTTTACCGTTATCACCAAGAATAAAAGTGAAAGCAAACCCCAATCTTGAGTTGTCACCAAAACAAGAACAGAGGGGAAATCTTCCAATGGGGACACTAGTTCTGGTGACAACCAAGGATTCCCATTGGAGGGATTTCCTCTCACTTCCTGTTTTGGTTATGGGACAGGAAGTGAAAAGAAACCTCCCCAATAGGACACAGATGACAGAAAAAACCTGGCAGGAGCTATAGCCCTCCCTTACTTTATCCAAAATAAAACACTTTATATGAATAGAGAGAACCGGCCACTCCAAAGTCCATATGAAGATTCTTTATTTATAGTACAGGAGTGACATAAAAAGCAGGACATTTTGCCTTTAGCCCTGGTTCACACTGATGCGTTGGAGAATTTGCAGTGTTTTCAGTGCAAATTCCGCACCGGTTCAGAATCGCACCCCATTCATGTGAACTGCTACGAGTGTGTATGCTGAGTTAACAACACCCCGAAAGCAGTCCGCAAAATGCGGTGTGATGTGCAGAATCGGATTGCAAAGGGTTGGAATACCCATGTGATCCGATTCTAGGGCGGACCCAAAAAAAGGGTCCTGCATGTTTTAGAATAGAGCCATACAAAAAGTATGGATCTGATCGCACCGCAGACAAATTGCATGTGATTTGCAGAGGAATGCGGTGCGGTTCCTGTACGAATCACATGCGATATACCGCACGGCATATATGTGAACCCAGGTGTAGTCCTACTTTAAATAATATTATAAAAGACTATTGCCATGCATCATATGAAGGGAAATATTTGTATCATATTGTTCATTATGATTTGGAGAGCGATAACTATATATGTTCAAAGCTTCATCCTATGAAGTGCTAAACATCCACGTGTCAGATCTGATCACAAACATGTGGCCAAAAGTGTCACAATCCCAACAGTCCAGTCTGCCCATAAGAAGATTTTATGAGGGCAGCTGGCCTTATACAACAGCACACATACATGACATGGCACACACACACCCACCAAGCCCCGACTACCATAAACACTGCAGTGGAATAGAATGCATATGTCAGCCCTGCTGTCTGCAACATGGGTGACAACGTTCCTGAGGGCTCCCCTGCAAGACACATACAGAGAAAGGAGAGGAGGAGGGGAGACAACAACAAGCCTCTAGTCACTCTACTACCTGCAG